TGTTGCCCCTTTTTTGGGTCCCGATGATGATGCAGATTCCAGAGGAGGAGGACGATTATGAAGAGCCTCGGTTTTCTACTGGATCCATGTCGTGTTTATTTCCCATCCTCCCGAACGGCGATAGCCCGAGAAAGAATCTTTCCTACGACAAGCTTCATCAGCAGCCTCTGAGGCTCGGTGTGCTCAAATTGGACGGCTCGTCTTTTGGTATGGTTCAATTTACCTTCATTTTTTCATACATTTTAGTGTTTGTATATGGATGATTAATGTCTCTGGCAGTACACAATTTTTTGTCTATTATTTTTATGTGAATGCTGGGAAAAGTCAATGCGTGCGTGTATAATATTGGAAGGTATGGAGATATTAATGATATACCAAAGTGGTTTTTTTGAAGAAATTGAGGTAGCAAAATCAGGAACAGTTGAGGAGTTGAAGAAGGCAGTGGAGGCGGCTTTCCGCCATTTGCCAAAGGAGGGGCCTGGTAAAGTTTCATGGTAATGTAGCTTTACTTTTGTAATTTTTTCAAACATATTAATATATGTGTTTGTGTTCTGTGGGTGCATCCATGTTTTCATGAGTTTCTTGGGAGAGAAGGAGAGGGGAAGAGGATTTCCGTGTTAGTTAACGAACGTTTTATATTTTTATTTCTGGTTGGAATTTTTTATGCTTTCTCCTGGAATTATCACTCATTGCCCTAAGAAGTAGTTTTTGGTTGTTTGAGTATGAAAAGTAGCAATGCCCTAAACAAGGCTTCTTGAGCTCAATTCTCTGTAGTCTCAAGCTTTAATGACATTGTCACATTGGCATTTTACAGTGATTAGTTTAGAAGTGGTTTTGCCTCTCTCTTAAATTTCAGGTGAATTTGGTTGCTAAGTTATGTTTTAGGTAGATCGCGTATAATCCATGGTTTAAGGATGGCCAATATTCTCAAAGGCTGATGAATGTTTTGAAGCTGTGAAAATTTAGTATGATGATATATCTTATGCTATCCTTCACAATAAACTGAAGAACTTGCGTGCAGGGAACATGTCTGGGGCCAGTTTTGTCTTTGTCATGAAGGCCAGAAATTAGTGGCCGACACTGACCATATCAGCTTGTTTGGCATCAAAGATGGCGACCAGGTAGGCCATAAGCTTCGTGTGTAACAAAAGTAACCTTCAAATTAGACAATCAACTGAAAAATCGACCCACTTTGACTGTCTCGTGGTTCCAAAGAAAATGACAAATCTAACCAGAATGGAAAACTAATCGGCCTACGTCTCTGGACTTCTAAAATTCAGAAGTACTTGGACATTTTAAGATGAATTAATGCAGTTAACTTGAACCTGGATGGGGATTAAACTAGTTCTCAGCTTGAGAGATCCCTGCTCAAAGAAGAAATCACCAAGAAGGTTTTAAGAACCTAAAGACGAAAGTGTAAACAGAATTTTGTAAAATGAACCAGCTTCTTGTTCCTTTGAACTATGATACTAGAATGTATATTACGGACTTGGTGATTGTCAGAATAGTTAGCAAAACTTGATTATTTTTTTCTGGAAACTTTGTTTCATTAATCCTCATTGATCCTAGTCAAACTATAAATGTCATAATTTTAGTAGACGAAGAATTTCTCAATTCTACTTTCGTTTTTGTCATCTTCAGCTGCATTTTGTGCATCATCCTTCCACTGCCTACAATTTGGTAAAGATCCAATCAGAGAGAGAGGACCCTGATTCAGATGACGAACCCTCCTTGTACGTATTCCTTGTTTGCTTCTCTTATTACATTTGGGATCAGTGTTCGTTGGCCATTAATTTCAATTTTCTTTTGTCAAAGGCCTTTTTCGGCTTCTAGGGTGGTTCACTTTACAGGGATATCCTGGCCATTTTACCCATTTAGCTATAGCTTAAAACTACTTTTTCTCAATTTCGTGTCCTTAACAAGTTTTTTTAAATCTTTTAAACACGATTTTCGCAGTTCAGGTGGCCCAAAGCAAAAAAGCGAGAACAATGTGAGTCACCGGATAGAAATTGTGGAAGACAATCAAGATGAAAAGGCGGGTTCAGATGATGATGATGCCGTTTCACGTTGCAAGTACAGGCTACGCAACTTGCTGAGATGTTGGTTCCCGTATGATAAGTTATCAAACTCCCGTGCAAAAACTGAGGATGGGAAGGGCAGCCCATCGAGAGGAGAAACATCCAAAGGGAAGTAAACCTTGGAGAAATCATACACGTCCACAATTTTTGGAGATTGCTTGAGTTTAAACATTTGGCAGAGGAGGTTTTGTACGTACAAATGCAGATGCGTTAGTGCTGGGAGGAGTGAAATTGTTTGTTGCTTCATTCTTGACCGTGTTTCCGAAGATAAGTATCGGTTTTGAGGGGTACAGTATGAACTTTTCGTCGTCGAGTTCTGCTTGTATGTTTTTTTACGGGTTTTCTGTGCACGCGTGAGAGATGTTTTTGAAGCCTTTTGGTTGGTTAGCGAGTCATGTTGCATTTTCTTAGCACTACATGAATTAATGAGAGGCGAAAGTAAATATTATTGTTAATTTATTGTTATGATTCTATTGTTACTGTCATTACTGTTCCGTGACTGCTAATTCGAAACTATACGGTGCTAATCACGGTTATTATCTGAGGAAACAATTGCATAAACGGAAATGAAAAATGCATGCGAGGAACAGAATATTGAGAAGAGAAATCTTGGTAAATCCACTTTGGAGGTGTTGTAGCTTTTCTTAGTGTTTGTACTGTTCTACCGTTTCTGTATTTTGAATAAAAAAAAAAAAAAAAAAAAACTCACCTAACAGTTTATCAGATGTCATGGCAAATACATGGGCAGCAGTGGAAATAAAAACTCCAGTGTAAGGTTTTACTTTATGGAAGGACTCTTTCATATGTGTTCGTGGTAGAAGGTGTTCTGCAGTGTGCACATGTCCTAACTGAATTTACAACATTTTGTGCTAAAGCTCACTCTTTTCATCTACGCGCCTGACCGAGATTCAGTTTCACCTGTGTCATTTGTTCGGCTGACACTATCAACGAATTCACCTGTTTTCTCAACACACCATTATCAACTAAGACGCTCATTAACATCTTCCTCAACTCCTCATCTAAAGAACTTGTTCCATTGTGCAACTCGTCAACTGTATCATTGGTTGAGGCTGAATCATCACATTCCTGGGCCAGCAACTGAACCTGGTCATTGTTAACAGAGAAATAAGACCAAGCAAAGTTTACTGTAGTCCGAAGATGAAAGTAAAATTTGAGATAAATGGAAACAGATTAATCCAGATGTCCATGGAAGAGTACCTTGGAAATGAGAAGGCCTATCTGATTGTCGGATGTGGCTACAATGTCAATGGGTTCGGAGAAAGATGAAATAGTTTTTAACATGTCATCTCCTTCTGTCAGATTGAGATAATTGATATGGCACTCCTGAAGCTGCTCGTGAAGAGTCCTGAATTTATCCAGAAACTCTCTCCACGATGTTCTTGTTTGCTCGTTTTTCACTCTTTCTTCTCTTAGTTGTTCCTGGGAATGGATTGCACGAGTTTTGGAAACAAGAGTTTGTAAATCACAGTGTATAAGACTTGGGAATACATTTTTAAAGCAACAGGATGCATAATTATAAATGCAGAATACAAGCACTGGGAGGAACTATATAAAAGTTGCAACCGACATTCACAGTTAGTAATACTCCTCAAAATAGTTGACCAAAGGAAGTATACCTCTGCTTTCGATTTTTCTGCAACTGACTGATTGAGTTGTTCAGTCAGTTCTGCATGTGAGCTTCTTAAATTTTTAACTTCTTTCACAAGAACTTTGATATCAGCTTTGGATTTCAGTTCCAGCTCCTGATGTCGCTTTAACAAGTCCTCATGTTTTCTGTATAGTGGAATCCAACGCATGGGACAACAAATCTTTCGGGTGATAATGTGAATTGGTAGACTCAGAATTGAGCCTCTGGGCCTGGATAAGAGTTTATAATAATATTTATGAGTTGCTAGAACTGAGATCAGCTGTAACTATGAGGTACATCAAACATGATACATAACCTGTTCAGAATTCAACTTCAGCTCCAGTTCTATTGACCTCTGCCTGAGTTCTTCCATATCTCATTGCATCTGGTTTACTCTTTCCCGTTCGATTAATATAGCTTGTTCAAGATTTTCTTTACTTTTTTGCTTAGTAGTTTCGAGCTCCACTTCCAAATCCTTCACCTGGGGGTGATGAAGAAATCATGGATTTCATACCCTAAAAATAAATGTGCATAAATAGAGGGATGCAATGAAAAATGTAATTGAAATATCCTTACACTACACTGTTACTGTAATAATGTGGCACCAAAGTAATTATCAATGTTACAAGATCATGTGCCTGCTCATGCTCAATTTGATTAGGACCATAAACACCTACAGACTTACTGACTTGTTTCACTTTCAGAAATCCATATAAAAATTTAACCACCTCATATTTACTTCTCTAAGCATAAACCGAGGCATTATGACCACGGCTGAGTCTCAGAATTTACTGCAAAGTGGGCTTTAGAAACTTTGATATCTACTAGAACCCCAGATGACTATTAAATGGAAACTTCGATTCAAGCTCACTCCCAGAAGAAAATAGTTGCACTTCACCATCGAACATTTTCAAGAGTAGAATCTAAGGAGACAAAGCTCAATAACTTATTTCTGCTCCAAATCTCAGAATTCAACCAAACTACAAATCTGCTAACTTAAATCAACAATTTTTGCTTTAATAATATAAAATGAAGTCATCACACACACACGAAAAAAAAAAAGGCTACCTTTGTAGCGAGATAGTCCTTCACTGCCATTTCTTGATTCAACCTCGATATAAGATTAGGTAACCCCAAAAATATATTTTCTCAACACAAAGTCGTTCGTTTTAACTCGATTTCCATTCCAGCAAAGTCGTTCGTTTCAACTCAATTTCCATTCTAACAATGAGATTAACCGACTATATTGCTTATGATATTTTATGTAAAAAATATTCATATATGTAGTGAATAAATATTGATTCCAAAACTTTCAGGCTGTGCATTAAGTTTCCAACTCTTCTCACGCACAGACATAAGAAGACTCATGATTTTGAGTCAGCAACTCAGCAACAGTAGATAGCAAATCAGAAAATCTCAAGAAAAATAAACATAGCAAATTCCAACTCAAAACCACCCAACAAAACAAGATCACACCATAATAATTCAGAAATATCCAAAGCAATAACAAAGTAGTTTCAAATTCTCAATAACACAAAGCATCCCCAACTTCAAATAAACACAGCAAAAGCATCTGATTAACATATCCGCTGCTTATTTACCACACTGAAATATAATATTGCACTCCAACTGCAAACAGAATCACGAAAACAAACTAGACACTAGCGCTTAATCGTATTTAAGTTTTGAGTAAAACGATAAGCGGACATTGACCATTAAGTAGCCCCAGTAAGCAAGCATCGCCATGCCTTCCACGGTTTCCCTCGAGTAAAGTTCATCCGCGACTGCACACACAAGTAAAGAAAAAAAACAAAACAACAGTTAGCACTCGTCACATTGAGATCTCCCACGCAACAAAAAGTAAAAAGTAAAAAGTAAAAATAACATCTTTCACAAAAAAATAGCCAATTATCTTCAACCACACAAGCACCCACCTTAAGGTAAAACAAAAACCAACTTATGTTTTGCATTTTCTTAATGAAGTATACCTTATTGAGGTTTTGCAGTTAGAAAATAGGAACATATATCACGAGAAAATTTGTAATTTCAAAATATAGCCACATCATCCCAATTATCTGCAACTTAACTCAAAGTAAAACTCAAGATAACTTTAGCAACTAGACCTAAGA